TAGGGGTAAATTCTAATGTTATTTATAACTTACTTTCAAATAGTATAGATAAAATTTGGATAGTTTTATATTCATAAAAGTATTATATCAAAAGACTGAAATAAAGAAATGCAGTACAATGTTAACAACTGTGGAATGTACGTTGTTCATCGTAAAATTTCTTTGAAGATTTCTATGATTAAGACTTGGTAATAGAGAGGATTCAACACAAAATAAAAAGGAATAAAGAGAGTGAATGTGGCATAGTCAGTTAGGTTATTGTAGTAGTTCAGGTAAGACCTGGAGCATACATGATAGGAGTGGTGGAAGAGAGAACTTAGCAAGTTAGATCACTATTTAGGTAACAGAATGGATTAAACAGAATAAATTAGAAGTGATTGTTTGGAATAGTGCCTGGTGCCTACTGCCTAGTAGGCACTTAATTGTCTCAGTGCATAACAGGATGAATGTATAACATGGGATTCAAGAAGACGGAGATGTATGCTTTACAGATTTTTTACTTAACCAATTGGGTGCATAATAAGACCATTAATTAAAATAAAAAACAAGAGAAGGAGCATGTTTTAGGAGGAAAATGATATGACTAGGTTGAATTTGAGATTTCTTACAGCTCATCAAAGTGGAGGCCTCGGGTTGGCATTTATATATAAAGCTCGGGAGCAAGTGATTTCAGAATTATTAGCCAATTAAAAATTGAAGCAGAAAAAAATATCCCAGGAAGAGTTTACAGAATAAAAGCTAAAGCAAAAATGGTCCAGGATAAAGCCCTGAGGCACTCTAACCTTTAATGTTTGGACAGAGAGGGGTGGCTAGCCAAAAATGTTGAAACTGAGTTGGAGAAAAACCAAGAGAGAGTAGCAACAAGGAAGTCAATGGAAGATTATTTTAAGAGGGAAGTATTTGAACAGTATCATGTATTATCATATATTATTGAAAAATCAAGCAAAATGTGATTGAAAAGTGAATATAGAGACTTAGCAGACTTAAGTTGTTGGTCTGAAGGAACAGTTTTGGAAGAGTGATAAGGGGAGACATTAACCCACATTGGCTTGTGAAGTTGAGTGAGGGGAGATGATATGAAAAGAGTGTTAACTCCTTTAGGAAATTGGACTGTGAATGGGGAAACAGAAACCAGGAGTGGGAAGAAAGTTTTTTTTAAAGGTGGGAGCATTGAACATATATAAATAGAAATTGGAAAGGAAAGCTGTGAAGCAAAATTATAGTTACGGAAGAGGGAGGGAGTACCTAATAGCACAAAGTCTCTGAGAAGATTGGATATGGTGGGATCCAAAGCACAGATAGGAAAGGTAGGTCTCATTGTCTAACCATGCTAGGTTCCAGGTTTTATTGATGAAATGAAGAGCATCAACTGAAAGATTTCCAAAGTGCTTTTAGCTCTAGCAATTTATCGTCTTGGGTGTCTGGAAGAAGAGGAGGGACTTGGAATGTGGATCCTATTAGGGTAGCAAGAGTGTATAAAGACAACAGGACACCATCAAACTTCAGGGTCGGGAGTGACTGTTCATGGGGTTGTCATCTGTAGGGAGATGAAGTGAGTGAACGGACACCTGTGAAAATCACTCTAAACTGTGAAATACTGGTGGTTGGTATCACTCCCATCGAAGCCAAAACAGGAGGAAACAGAAATCACATTTATTTTGCAGTTTTACCCATGGCTAGTCTCACAGCTGCCAAAACTTTAGAGTTACTCTGAAGATATTTTTTCAACTGGCAGCTGAATGTAAAATAGTTTTCTTTAAGGTTGTTTTTATATGCAACTCTAATAAAAGAGCTTGACCTTCCCAAATGTTTTTTTTTTGTTTTTTTTTTTTTTTGACTCTGTGGTGACTATGCCTAATGTAAGGATATTGGAGAAGGCAGACTTGAAATAGGAAAATAGTGAAAAGAGGGACTGTGGGCGAAGACGTGAAAGTGGGTCAGTGCAATGGAGAGGAGACAGGCAATGAGATAGGGACTGATAAGCACTGATGCTGGTTGTGACTCCTATAGGGGTTCAAGAGTCCATTTTTATTCATGTTAACATGAATCACAACAATAATATGACCATTTATTGAGCACTTACTTTGTGGCAGGCACTATACAAGGCTATTCATTATCTCATGTAATTCTCAAAACAATCCTGGGGGGGTACTATTATTATTCCTATTTTATTTTATTTTCATTTTGGTAAGATATATACCACATGCAATTTACCATTTTAAACATTTTAAGCGACATTAAGTACATTGGCATTATTGTGCAACTATCACCAACATCCATCTCCAGGACTTTTTCAACATCCTGAACGAAAACTTTGTACCCATTGAACAGTAACTCCCCCATCCCCCTCTCCCCGATTATTCCTGTTTTGAAGATGAGGCAGCTAAGGCTTCAAGAAAATAACAAGTATTTCCCAAGGGCACAGAACTGATTTGTGTCCTTAGTTTTAGAGTCTAGAATTTATGTGTCTTGAAGAGTTTAGTTTCAAGTGAATATGGATTTCCAGGCAGAATTGCCGGTCTGTGCCTTCAGTTATCCGTTGAAGTAAGAAGGATTATGCTAAGAATACAAGTCTGAGTTCTGGAATACCAAAGGCCCTTTAGAACAGTTAGCATTCTACTCTGGCTGAAGAGTTTGCTACTCTCTAGTCTCTCTTACTCATGGCCAAGACCTTGGTTGGGCCTCTATGAAATCTCTCCATCCTGCCAAGGAATAAGGACTTTTGAGGATAACCAGGAAGCTTTCTTGAGTCACCTTTCAGGCTAGAATGGCCAGCTACAGAAGAATCTAGTAAAGTATATCATTTAACCCCAAACTGTGAACTCTCCCAGAAATTAGTAATTTATTGAAAAATAGCTTGACCAACCCCTTTTTTGGGGCACACTTAACTGAGAAAATTTTTTAAACACTGAGAAACAGTACTACTTTTCCTTGTGATTTTATTTGCTTCTTTTGCTTTTTATGCCTTTCTTTTTCCTGTCTCTTAACCTCTTCTGTAAAGTCAAGCTTACCCACAAACTATACATACATCCTTTGGCAGTGCACTTTAATATGTTGCTTGGATACAGATGTTTGGAACTATAGGAGCAAAATTTATACCTGATTCTGTTACTAAGGAAACCAGGGCAACTTAGGAATTTTCCTTTGGGAATCATGGCCATAAACTGGAAAGAAATCTATTAAGACTTTTTGAAGAAGAAAGATAGGTAAGACATGGTTTAATTGTATTTCTACACTGGCAAGTTAATATTTATGAGCTTCTGTAGCCTTTTTCTGCCTGTGGTATAAATATTGCTACATGAATCTTATTCAGTAAGTTTGATCACATTATATGTGGGGGTGGCCAGGGTATTTAAATATAAACACAAATCACACTTGTAAAACATTTCCTAAACCAGACTATAAATAAAAGCATTCGTGCTTTAAGGGACAACAGTTACAGGATTTTAATTCTATAAGCCTTTCCTTCACAATCAGAGCATGGGATTTGCAGGAGAAATTCTTTGCTTATGTCAGCCCTACTGGCAAATCATCTCCAGGAGAAACAAACAAGAAGTTAATTTGCAGAATCTATTTTGCTTCTCCAGCTACAAGGACACATTACACCTGTCTGAGATTTCCTTCCATCTAAAACCCTGACTGGGTTTCTTAATGTTAGTGAGGCTGGCACTGCGAGAGGTAAGTTTAGTACAGCAAGAGAAACTCTGCCTGCCCAGGCTAGCTGATAGAACCTTTTAACATGTATATGTAATCTTGTGCTGAAACAGAGCTCTTCATAAAAGCGAGAATGTTCTCTTCCAGACGGTGTCTTTGACAAAGCTCGGTGTTCTTGTTAGAGCTCTAGTCATCTTCTAAAAACTGCTGCAGCCCAACTGTAGGAAGTACCTTGTCTCTGAACACAGAGCCCAAACAGTGCTAAAAAGGGAAATGGAACATATGGTAATAAACTCTCTGAAGCTTGGATGCCGGGTTGTAATCAGCAACCAGGGTGAGAGAGGCATTGGCAAACATGAACTCTGCCCCTAGGGCCTCATTAACAAGGCCAACTGTGCCGCAGTGGAGGAAAACAGTATCACATACTTGAGGGAGATCACAGCCTGTCAGGGCAAATCCTAGATTTCCCTTTGGCTGGAGGGAACATTAACTGGAAGCAGAGGAAGCTTCTGCAAGAAGCTGGAAGAAAACCATGGCCCCCTTTGCCATACGTGTCTGTGCTTATTCAGAAATAATGATGATGAGCTTTTCAAAGTTTATTTCTGTCAAATGATGTATGCAAAGCACTGGAGGTAAAGGATCAGATTTGCTCTTTGGCTACCCCTAGCTCTGGCATCATGGAGGTGGGAAGTCATTCTTTGCCTCACCTTTCCCATAAGTGTAATGAGGAGGGCTGTCTGGCCTGAGTATTCTCTAGGATCCTCCTATATTCTGCTAAGATCCTCCATGCAACAGACATTTTTCCTCAAGGATGAGAGCAGTAGTGGGTGATTTTATGGGCACTGCCAACCAAGACCATGTGTCTATATTTCCTTTTGATTTCAAAAGGTATCTTTATGGGCAAGTATTTCTGAGGCACACATGTATCTCTGTATACTGTGTACATTGCACCAACTTCTATTCTCTTCCCTTCTCTTCCTCTTCATCTTCTAACTTATTCGTGCTAATGATAAATTTCCAAAATTCTTGGTACTATGCGCTGAAGATACACATCAAAATGAGAAAAAAGTTTCAAGCTGGGTAATATCCCTGATCCTACCAACTGATTTAGTCCCAGTGGCCTCTGGTTACCCATTCACAATCATATTATCTATTTGTATGCAGGGTTTTTTTTCTTTTGCATTTTACTGTGCAGCTCATAACCGCTTCTTAGCTCTTTCTACTCAAATGCACTTTATTTAGCAGCTTTCCTTTGAAAATAATAATATTATTCAGTCATCCCTTTTTTGTGCTTGTTATATTCTTTAAATACAACATCACAATTAATCATTAAAACATGTCTTTGGTATGAGTGTTATTATCTTCATTTTATAGATGAGGAGGCAGAAGCTCCTAAAAGCTCTAAGTCACAGAGGGAGTGAGTAACAGTCTTGATTCATAGGCAGCTCCCTGACTTCAAGATACGCGGCCATTTAATTACATCAGGCTACCTTTCAGAGTAACCATTCTCTAGGGCGTCCATAGCACTGGTGATCACATGCCTCATTCTGCCAGGAAATGGGGCTAGAAGTATATGTGTGTGGGTATGTGAGGGGGAGCTGAAATTCAAGCACTTACCCCAGATTTCCCTCCATCCTTTCACTGTTTCTCTTCTAGGTTGATGATCTAAGATATTTAGAAATATTTGTAAATACTAAATATTTAGAAATGTTTTTAAGATATCAAGAAGACTTGATTGTAATTTACCTGGAGCAAGAGGACATCTGAAGCTCTTTCCAGAGCTATATGTTGATGCTCTAAGTGTGGCACATAGTGTAGATATTTGCAGCCATATGGTTACAGTGAAGTATGGAGTAGGGTATGAGAAAGTGGTTGAGAAGTCAAGAAAGACTTGTATTCTACCCTTATTTCCAAGGGTAACAAAATGTAAGACTTTGAACAAGTCACTAACCAATTTGCCTTCCTATTCCTCCTCTGTAAAATGATTAGTGAACTTTTTATATGGCTGCTTTAAAGGAACATTAAAAACCTTCTATTAATCTGTGGCATAGAGAAGCTAACTAGATCTGTATAACATTTATATTTCTTAAAGTCACTTAAACCTTTGTAGCATCTCTTAACAGCCCAGATGTGTTCTAGAAGATGGGTGTATCCACACCGAATGACTTTTCTGTGGGACTGGTAGTTGAATGGAGAGAAAGGGGATAGAGACCATGGTTGAAAATACCTCCAGACCCCAACTTTGGAGCTCAAGGTCATGATGCCTTTCTATCAAATATCTTAGATCATGAACCTAGAGGAGAAACAGTGAAAGGATGGAGAGAAATCTGGGGTAAGTGCTTGAATTTCAGCTCCACCTCACATACCCACACACATATACTTCTAGCTCCATTTCTTGGCAGAATGAGGCATGTGATTACCAGTGCTATTGATGCCCTGTAGAATGGTTGCTCTTGTTGGAGAGCATGTGTTGGAAAGTGCATCTCCTCTTGTTGAGAGAGATGCTCCCCAGGCAGAGCTGGAGAGACTACCCTACACTCTTCTAAACTGGGACATGTCCCACATAGGGCCTATTGTTGGTGCTTTGTGGATCCTTCCCTCCCAGAGCCCATGATAGTACTCTTCTTTGGAAGGGATAAAGAGGAGCCTCCTGCCACTACCTATTAAAGAGCCATGCTTCCTTCCTCCTCCATGAATAGCATTAATCTGCTTCTCTCTCCTGTCTGGATCATCTCTCTCATCTGTGTGGTCCTATACTAATAACAAAGCAAGATATTTTATGTTAGGTCTCCCACCTTTTGGAAATGCTTGCAAAGTATAGTTCTAAAAACTGCCAAACTTTATAATAAATGCCTATGTATCGAAAAAATGTATGCACTCTGAAGTTGCATCTTGAGAAAACACAAATTCCTCCATTTTTCCTCTGGATATTTTCCCAAACAAACTACTTAGTCTTTTGTTCACTCTTCTGCTCATGCTACAACAGCAGCACCTGCCCAAGTGAGATGTGGAGCAGGCAAGGTTTATTCTCACATGTACAGACTCATGTAGTCAACTATCTATTGGACATCTCCATACATTTCAGATGTACCTAAAAAAACACTGGAACTTAGCATGTTTGTTGAGCTCTTGATTTTCCCTCCAGCACCAGCTATTTTCATATTCTACATATCTACATTATTGACAACTGTCTTCTTTTAGTTACTGTAGCAAAAAATCTTGTGTCGTCCTTGACTCCTCTCTCTCTTTCACACCCCATGACCAATCTGTCAGCAAATTTTGTTAGCTCTACCTTCAAAAAATATCCAGAAACTAACGACTTCTTACCATCTCCACTGCCAATCCATCATCATCTCTCACCAGGATTATTTCAAAAGCCTTATAAGCTGAATCCCTGCTTCCATTCTCTTCCACTATATATTTTTAACAGTGGCCAGAAAGGTCCTGTTAAGATAGAAGCCAGATCATGTTATCTTCTGATCAAAATCTTCCAAGGGTATCCGACATTACTTGGAATAAAACCCAAAGTCTGCATATGATCTGGCACCTTTATAACTTCTCAGAACTCATCTCCTACCACTTTACCCCTTGTTCATCTGCTCCAGCCATGCTGGCCTCCTTGCTTTTCTTTGAACACGTCTGGTATATTCCATAGAGTCTTTGCATATGCTCTTGTGCGACCATCCACAGGCTGGCTCCCTCATCTTCAGATCTTTATGCAAATACTTCCTTTCATTGAGACTTATTTTGTCTACTCTATTTAAATGCATCTGACCCCTATTCCCCACCTACACACATGTCATAATGAATTTTCCTCCTTCATTTTTCTGATAGCGTCTGGTTTGGGGTGAATTGTGTCCCCAAACACATCTATTGAAAATCCTAACCCCCTGTGCCTGTGAATATGACCTTATTTGGAACTAGTGTCTTTGTCCATTTAATCAAGTTAAGATAAGGTCATGAGGGTAGGCTGTAAGCTAGTATGACTTATGCCTTTATGACAGGAGGAAAACATCATAGAAAGACAGAGACACACAGGGAGAATGAGAAGTGACAACAGAGGCAGGGATTGGAGTAATGCAGTTGCAAGCTAAGGAAAGCCAACTATTGATGTTCACCACCAGAAACTAGGAAGAGGCAGGAAAGGAGTCTACTCAGAGTTCTAGAGGGAGCATGGTCTCACTAACACCTTGATTTCAGACTGCTAGCCTCCAGATTATGAGAGAATGAACTTTTGTTGTTTTAAGCCAGCTAGCTGTAGTACATTATTATGGAAGCTTTGGCAAACTAATACAGTATGTATCACACCTTCTGATATACTACATATTTTACATGTTTGTTGTATTTATCGTCTGTCTCCCCAACGTGGTAAACTCCAAGGAGGACACACCATTTCTGGCTCCCTAGTCCATACTGCTCTGATCTCTGCTGGGTTCCACTTGATTTGACTTCTGCCTAGGATTAATTGATCCTAATACTTCTGGATGAACCTGCAGAGAAATTTCATGAAGATATGAACTGAACTCAAAGCAAGAAGTGGAAATTCTACCTTCTAAGGATAGTGGAAGAATAATCTGGAATTGTATAAAATTTGGAGACAGACTACAGTGCTGTAAAGGAAGTCTTCCATTTGGACTCCCAGATAATACTGCCCATGTGCCCAGACCACATAGTATAAAGGGTTAGGTAAGTGCCTGTGTATTAGATGAAGAAAATCATGATGGATTGGTTGGACACAGAAGGATATATACCACAGAGAATTCCTGATAGCTCTGAAGATACCTTGTCAAAAATTTACGTGTTTTTAATTTTTCCTCGGTGTTGGTTTTAATAGCTTTTAATTTTTTTCACAGCACTGAAAGTGTCTCAATAACACTATGCCTCAAAGGAAATGTATTGTCTTTGTAACACAATATTATACGCATTATTGAATTCTGAAGCTAAACATGCTAGAAGAGCAATGCAAAATGAACAAAGCATTCTCTAGAATGCTTCAAATAACACCAAAAAGATATGTTGTCCATCTATCACCCAGAAGATGCACTATACCTTATTTCTGGTCTGTAAATACAAATAGAAAATTATTAAGGAGAGAGAAAAATTTTTAAAAATCTGAAAAATAAAATGAGGATTCTTAGGGCAGTGTAATGCAAAGTTTGGGGGAACAAGACTATGGAATTAGAGCTGGGTTTGAATTCTGGTTCCAAGACTCAGTAGCTGTGGAGTTACATGATAATAATAATATTATTATGTTAGTGACGACTAGTACATGCTTAAAGTGTTGTTGTAAGTTAAAGTGGGTTGTAAATTAAATACACATGAAAAATACTTAGCTTCGTCCTAAGTGGCACCTGTTATTGCTATGTCTTCCAATGCAATTGCTATCTATAGGTGAGATTTATTTGAATCTCTTGTGAAAGAACATTGAGAGAGAGACTCAGTTCGCTACTGTAGAGCTGCTCAGAATCTCCTTTCAGGCTATGATCTGAATGTGCTTGTTGACAATAACTATTATTGGGACAAAGGAATCATGTACAGTCTTCCTGATTAACTACTGTATCACTTCCCATCATTGTCCTTTTCATCTTATTTGATATAAATATGTAATCTAATGATCCTTTCACTTAAAATCTCTCCTTTGATGGGGAGATTTTCAAAGTGCTTTTTCAGAAATTCATTAATTAGGCAAGTCTACCCATTTTTCTAGAGCCTATTACTGAGATACTTGAAGAACTTTGGGGACTAGGAAATTCCCCCTAATTTTCTAGAGGAGATGGAGAGACAGTCTCACAATTTTCAGAGTATATCATGTATAGGAGGAAAAGGGTTATTCTTGGAGTTAACCTTATCACTGTTTTCATATTAATGTTTATTTGCAAGTTCCCTTGAAAAGCTTTCACCATATGCATGAATTGACCACAGTCTAGCATGACAATTAGACCCTCCTGGAAACTGTGCCTCCCTATTTTGATTATCTTCCTTTTTTTAAAAAACATTTATTTATTTTTGAGAGAGAAAGAGAGAGAGGAAGACACAGAATTCAAAGCAGTTTCCAGGCTCCAAACTGCCAGTGCAGAGCCCGACCTGGGGTTCAAGCTCACAAACAGTTTGATTGTGACCTGAGCTGAAGTCTGATGCTCAACCAACTGAGCCACCCAGGCTTCTCTGATTATCTCCTCTTTAAGGCCTGGCATCATGGACTCTGATTTCCCAGCAACACCTTCACCTCTCTGATTTCATATCATGGCAAATGTCTAATTGGGGGTTCAATTGTCCCCTTAACTAGGTATAGCTGGTTGTTAGATAACTGTGAACTTAAAAATACTCAGCTACTGGGGCGCCTGGGTGGCGCAGTCGGTTAAGCGTCCGACTGCAGCCAGGTCACGATCTCGTGGTCCGTGAGTTCGAGCCCTGCATCAGGCTCTGGGCTGATGGCTCAGAGCCTGGAGCCTGTTTCACATTCTGTGTCTCCCTCTCTCTCTGCCCCTCCCCCGTTCATGCTCTGTCTCTCTCTGTCCCAAAAATAAATAAACGTAGAAAAAAAAATTTAAAAATACTCAGCTAGGGCCACCTGGGTTGCTTAGTCAGTTAAGCATCTGACTTTGGCTCAGGGCATGATCTCGGGGTTCATGAGTTTGAGTTCTACACTGACAGTGCAGAGCCTGCTTGGAATTCTCTCTCTCTCTCTCTCTCTCTGCTCCTCCCCCACTTGTATTTTCTCTCTTTCTCTCTCAAAATAAATAAACTTAAAAAAAAAAACCAGCAAAAAACTACTAGGCTAAAGGAAACCACCAGGTTGCAGATGATCCAGGAACTTCATTGAACCTGAGTTTTGGCTGGCAATCTGAGCAGAGAGCTTGGCTGTCAACGAATGAAGCATGTTTTAATTAGGAAGCTTTATTACATCATTACAGGGAGTAAAGAGAGTGTGGTTTGAGAGATTGCAGACTAGATGCTTAAGGAGGCTCTCCTGCCATGAGACCCTTGTCGGAATCTGACCTTTGTCATTCTGTAAGATGATAAAGAAAAAGTGCTATCTTCCTTGGTTTGTACGGTGGTTAAGAAAATAACCAGATTTTTTGAAATTGCAGTAAAAGTGCCCTTCTTCAGAATTATTTTGGAAAAAGAGTGTGAGATCATTGCTGTGCCCTCTTTAAGAAATCCACACCCTAAGATTGCATGCTTCTCACTTTGCTTGGGTACCTCCACTCAAATGCCTCCTCCTCTATCTTTCTTTGTGGAACACATTACAACCTTCTCATTATAATTTATATTTGTAGGGTTATTATTTATTGTCGCCTCTACTGGAACATGAAGTTTATGATGGCACAGACTTGAGATGGTCATCACTCCGTTGCCAGTAAATAATCATTAAATGAAAATTGAAAGATTTGAAGGAGGGCCTGGGTGCCTCAGTCAGTCATCCAACTTCGGCTCAGGTCATGATCTCATGGTTCGTGAGCTCCAGCCCCATATCGGGCTCTGCACTGTCAGTGCAGGGCCTGTTTGGAATTCTCTTTCTGCCCCTCCCCCCACTCGTGCTTTCTCTCTCTCAAATAAACAAACAAACAAAAAAGGAAAAGACTTGAAGGAGGTGGTGGAGAGATGTTAGACGCATGGTGTATGATAATCAAATGGACACAACTAGCTGGTCTGGGGGCTATCAGGCCTAGTTTGAAAAAGAGGTTTTATGAAAACCTGACTAGTCTTGTAAGAGCATAGTTTCTGTCACTGTGGTAATGAGAAGCAGGAAGAATTATAATATACAAATAATCCTAAGAAACTCTTAAATTTTAGCCAATAGCTTAACCTCTCTGCCAAAATAACCTGCCTCCTATTTTCTGCATTATTTTTCATTACCCCAGTCAGAAGAGGGAAGAGTTGAGCTAAGGAAAACATCAGAGAGTAAGGGAAGGCTGGCTACTGGATGTGTTGGGGCTGGTAGGGACTTGGTGTGAAAGGTAAGTGTTGAGGCTTTCTGTCTCAGGTGGCTGATGACAATAGCCTGATACATGGGATTTACTCTCCTGTTCTCCATGGCTCCTTCCTTCCTTCCTCACTGCTAAACCTTATTTGAACCTTCCTCCTTTGCTTTCCTTTCTTATTAGTATCTTTCTTTCCATCCTGCCTTCATGACTGGGCAGCAGATGACTCAGGCTCCCTCTGGGAGAAGTCAGAGTATGAGGTTTGGAGTTAAAGGACAGGGACACCAAAATAGTATCTGTTCTTTTAGTTATTGGCTGAGCTGGCCAGACTCTGTGGTTGGGGGGTTGGGTTGGAAAAATCATTCGTTTTTCCAGTTTGACTTTTGCCCAGGGAGTGGTAAGAATGGAATAAATCTTAAATGCATTTTCAAAAAGTATACTTATGCTCTTCTCTGTGTGTTTGCTTTGAATAAGTTTATTGTCTACTGTTAACTTTAGTGAAAAATATGAGACGATGATGGCAATTAGGAGGGCTATCATTTTTGAACACGAATGTTTCAGTCCTTCTACTAAGCGCTATATTTGCATAATTTATTTTTTAATAGTTTTAACAATAAAGGTGGGTATTAGTATCAGCTCCATTTTACAGCAAAGGAAATTCAAATTTAGGTTTAGGAACTTGCTCAAACTCGAGCTAATAAAAAACAAAGTTTGCGGTTCAACATAGGCAATACACCACATTAGTAGAATGAAGTATAAAACACACATGATTATTTCAGTTGATGCAGAAAAAGCTTTTGAAAACTTCAACAACCTTTCGTGATAGAAACAATCATTAAACTAGGGATAGAGGGAAACTATTCGAAAATGTTGGCAAGGATGTGGAGAAATTGGAACTCTTGTAAATGATCGGTAGGGATGGAAAACGGCGGAAAAGGGTGGAAAACGGTATGGAAACTATGGAAAACAGTATGTCAGTTCCTCCAGAAATTATAAATAGAATTAACATATGATCCAGCATTCTCAATTCTGGGTATATATCCAAAAGAATTGAAAGCAGTGTCCTGAGGACATGTTTGCATACCCAAGGTTATAGTGACACTATTCACAATAGACAAGAGGTAAGAAGCAACCCAAATGCCCATTGATGGATGAATGGATTCACAAAATGTGGTGCATATATACAGTGTAATATTATTCTACCTTAAAAAGGAAGGAAGTTCTGACACATGCTACACCATGAATGAAACGTAAGGACCTTATGCTAAAGTGAACATAAGCTAGTCACAAAAGGACAAACACTATAGGATTCCACTTATGTGAGTTACCCATATTAGCCAAATTAAAAAAGATGAAGTAAAGTGGTGGACGGGCTGGGAAAAGAGAGAATGGTGAGTTAATGAAGGAACAAACAGTTTAGGAAGATGAAAAAAGTTCTACAGATGGATTGATCACGATTGTTGTACAATATGAATGCATTTAATGCCACAGAACATGCACTTAAAATGGTTCAAATATTAAGGTTTAAGTTATGTATATCTTGCGACAATTAAAAAAATAAAGTTAGGACTTATACTTGAAATTTGTTAAAAAATGCTTTGAGAACCCGGCGTGCTCAGAGCACTTGGCAGAACTACAAAGTAACAACTCTTCTATTGAGCCCACGGATTCTGAGTGTCTTCTGTGTTTTGCTCCAAGATGCCTGACCAATGTGATACAGAAACCAGTATTAAAAAATGGGTAAGACTTCCATTTCACAGTCAAAATGCCTAATTTCAAGTCCCACAGTTCATGCATGAGATTGTATTGTCTGTTAATTGGGTACCATCCTTCTGATGCCCTGATATGAGTGGTAATTTCAGAAACTTCTGAGGCACGTATCAGTTGCACTTTATTTCAGGTGCCTGGGTGGCTTCCTCAGTTGAGCGTCTGACCCTTGGTTTTTGGCTCAGGTCATGATTCCAGGGTCGTGGGATCAAGCCCTGCATCCGGCTCCACTTGCCACACTGAGCGTGGAGCCTGCTTAAGATTCGCTCTCCCTCTACCCCTTTCCCCCATTTGTGCTCTAAATCTCTTTATCACTCTGTCTCTCTCTCGCTTGCTCTTTCTCTCTCAGATAAAAAAAACAAACCAAACCAAAAACTTTATTTCACGTCACCTTTCAGTGAGGCCCACCCTAACGACCCTGGTCAAAATAGAATACTCCCTCTCCAGCATTATCCATCCCCCTCAGGCTTTTATGATCTTTCATTGGCACTTATCTTCTAATACACTAAGCAATAAACTTACAGATTGCGTATTTGACTATAGGTACTACTAGAAGTTAAGACCATGAGGATAGGGATGTTGATCTGTTTTTTCATTACTGAATCTCCAGTGCCCAGAACAGTGCCTGGCATATGGTAAGCATTTAACAGTTCTGAATGAATGAATGATTCCATATAAAGCACTTAGCACGCTACTGGTACATAGTAAGTGCTTAATATATAGTAGCTATTTTAAGGACTGCAGGCTGCTTCAAATCTGAGACCAGATGTGGTGTTTCAGACTTCTGCTGTAATGAACATGAGGAAAGCAAATTTATCTAACACGTATATGGGAAAAGTCCTGTGATGCCAAGGTCCTGAGCATATTATTTCCCATTCTCTAATTGTAGAAAGTGGTTAACAAGGGCATGTTTTTCATGTCATATAATTTAAAACAATCAAGGGTCTCAACGAAGTATATTATTACTATCAGGCAATCCAATTCTTGTAAAGAAACTTAGATATTTTTGCATTAACCTCTTAAACAGCAACTTTGGTTAACTATATGATTTGGGGCAAGTCATTAACCTCAGCGTCTTATCTGTTAGTGTCAGGTGACTGGGGATTGGAATACAGTTCTGGGTGTGGTCTCTCCAGGACCCTCAATTGTACCATGCAGTATTTTCATGGGATGAGAGGTTGAAGGTCTTTATTCAGACCCATGTCCAACAGACTAAGGCTTAAGAAAATAAATGAGTATTAGGCCCTGGAAAATTGTGTCTACCAAGTCAACTTCTGTTGGAGTTAAACTTTGCCTAAGAAATTGGCTCTCTGTAAACTTGTTGCTATGGTTTTGAGCTTTGCTTTTTGTTAGTTCTCTCTCTCTATTTTTCTCCTTCTCTTCTGTCCTCTTCCTCTCTTTCCGCATTCTTCCTTCCTAAGGTGTAACCCCTGCTCTGTGTGGCTGCTCTGGTCTTTGGGGACTTCGATGTCTATTCCCAAGATTAGGAAGTCCACATCTATATCTAGCTCTAAAGATTTTCCCTACACTCAATAAATTAATAAGAACATTATGAATAATTTTATGTAAAGAACTCTGGAAGCTTACATAAAATAGGAAAATTATCTAAAATCACAACTTACCAAAACTGCCACAAAATGGAATATCTGAATAAGGCCTATATCTGCCAAAGAAATTGGAACCATAATCAAAATCCTTCATATGAGGAAAACTCCAGGCCTAAACAGCCTCACTGGTTCATTCCTCCAAAAGTTCAGGAAATAATACTGTATTTACACAGATTCTTTCAGAAAATAAAGAAAGAGAATGCTTACAATTCATTTTGTGAGGTCAGTATAACCTTGAAACTGAAACATGATATGGATATTATAGGGAAAAAATTACATCTTTTTATCTACCATGAACATAGATGCAAAATTTCTAAACACAATATTAGCAAATAGAGTGCAATAAGATTGAAATAACATAATAGTTCACGGCCAGGTAAAGTTTATTTCAGGAATACGGTAATAGTTTAATATATAAAAACCAATTAATATCATTTTAAAAATAACTTTAAAATAGAGAAAATCATATTATCATCTCAATAGATACAAAAAAGGCATGACCCCATTCATGACTAAAACAAAACAACTGTGAGAAAATTAAGATGAGAACTGTCTTAATGTGATAAAAAGGAATCTAAAAACTCTACAGCTGACATTTCTAATGGTGTAATACTGAACTTTTTTCCCTTAAAGTTGGAAATGTCCACTGTCACCATGTTTATTTAACATACTTTTGAAGGTTCCAGTCAGAAGAAAAAGGAATAAGAATTACAAAAATATTATATAATGAGAAGAATAAAGTTACCTCTATTACAAATGACATAATTATATAAGAAATTCAAAAGAAGTTATAAACTATTAGAATTAAGGTATTACCAAATTTGCTGGATGGAAAACCCATATGGAAAAAGTACTTATTTCTATATTTCAGCCAAAAATAAAACCATAAAATTAGAAAAGCAGTACCATTTAAAATAGGAGCTAAAAACTATGTACCTCTGGGTTAAATTTAAGATTTATAAGATGTCTATAATTAAACTACAAGTGTTGGTGCTCCTGGGTGTCTCAGTTGATAAGCATCTGACTTCAATTTTTTTTTTAACGTTTTATTTATTTTTGAGACAGTGAGAGACAGAGCATGAACAGGGGAGGGTCAGAGAGAGGGAGACACAGAATCCAAAGCAGGCTCCAGGCTCTGAGCCGTCAGCACAGAGCCCGACGCGGGGCTCGAACTCACAGAGTGTGAGATCATGACCTGAGCCGAAGTCGGCCACTTAACAGACTAAGCCACCCAGGCGCCCCATATAAGCATCTGACTTCAGCTCAGGTCATGATCTCAGGTTTGTGAGTTCAAGCCCCTCTTCAGGTAAAACAACAACAACAACAAAAAACAAAAAACAAAAAACAAAAAAAAAACCCCACAAAAACCATGAGCCCTGCTTTGGGTGAGCCCCACTTGCTTCTCTCTCCCTTTCCCTCTGCCCCTCCTGGGATTCTCTCTCTCTCTCTCTGCCACTTGCGCCCTCTCTTTCTCTCTCAAAACAAACCAAACAAAAAACCCCCCAAAACCCTGCTGCTAAAAGAAAGAATACTTAAATGGGGGAGATGAATAAAGTTTGTGGATTGAGAGATTCAATATTTGTAAGATGTCATTTTCTCCAAATTGATCTATAAATTTGATCTGAGCCCAATCAAAACCTAGCAGGATTTGTGTAGAAATTGACAAGCTGATTCTAAAATTTATACAGAAATGAAAGTACCAATAAACCTTAGATAATATTGAACAAGAACAAAGCTGGAGGGCTTACAACACCAGACTTCCAGACTTAGTGTAAAGCTCCAGTAATTAAGAGTGTGGTATTATGCAAGGAGAGACAAACAGACCAACTGGACAGAATTATGAGTCTAGAAATAGACTCACACATACAGAATTTCTTGATTTATTAAAAAGGTGCCACTGCGGTTCAGTGGGAGAAAGTTGGCTTTTCATTAAATGGTGCTATAACATTATTCTTATGAAAAAAATGAACCTTGCCTCCTATATTACAGCATACAGTAAAATTAATTTGAGAGGGAATATAGATCTCTATTTGCAAGATAGAAAAAAACGGAGCTTTGGGAAGAATACAGAAGATATCTTTATGACCTTAGGTAGGCATGACTTTCTTAAACATAAACATAAAGCATTAACCATAAAAAAAACCTCTGATAAACTGGGTGTCAACAAAATTATGACTATTAATTCATCAAAAGATATCAATCATTATGATAATGAAAAGACAAGCCATATACTGAAAGAAAATATTTGTCATTTATATGTCTGACAAAGGCCTGGTATCCTAAATATACAAAGAGTTCATGTAAATTAATATGATATAAACAAACCATACAGTTTTTTAAAATTTCAGGTATTTCATAAATAAGATATCCAAATAACCAGTAAACATATCAAAATCTAATCTATATTATTATTCATCAAGCGAACAGAAAGCAGAATCAGACCTATAAATACAGAGAACAAACTGATGGTTTCCAGAGGGGAAAGGGTGGGAGGATGGGCAAAATGGGTTGATTTTGATCTCTGCCTTGATTCAGTGGTGGTTACACAGGAATATACATATACGAAGACACATCCAGCTGTATAGTCAAGATTTGTGTACTCTATGCACTTTACTAGATATGCATTATACTTCAAAGGCAAGCAAAATTAAAAATTAGATTTTAATAAAAGTAAAAAGCATTAGTTAACAGAGCATACACAAGAAAGAATATCTAATGGGAAAAAGACAGTGTCTTCAACAAATGGTGTTGGGAAAATTGGACAGCTATATGCAAAAGAATGAAACTGGACTAATTTCTTATACCCAAAGATATACCCCAAAATATCTTATACGCAAAGATAAATTCAAATGGATTAAAGACCTAAGTGTGAGACATGAAATAATAAATCCTAGAGGTGACATTAACAGTAACCTTTTTTACATTAACCATAGTCATTTCTTTCTAGATAAGTCTTCAGAGGCAAGGGAAACAAAAAAGTAAACTATTGTGATTTCATAAAAATAAAAACTTTTGCACAGCAAAGGAAGCAATCAATGAAACTAAAAAGGCAACCTATTGAATGGGAGAAGGTATTTGCAAATGACATATCTGATAAAGGGTTAGTATCTAAAATATGTAAAGAACTTATAAAATTCAATATCTAAAACCCAAACAATCTAACTTAAAAATGGGCGGAAGACATGAAAAGACATTTTCCCAAAGAGGACATGCAGATGACCAACAGACACATGAAAAGATGCTCAACATCACTCATCATCAGGGAAATACAAACCAAAACTATAATGAGATATTACCTCACACTTGTCAGAACGGCTAAACTCAACAACACAAGAAACAACAGATGTTGGCGAGGATGTGGAGAAAGATAAACCCTTTTGCACTGTTGGTGGGAATGCAAACTGGTGCAGCCACTCTGGAAAGCAGTATGGAGGTTCCTCAAAAAATTAGAACTACTCTACAAACCAGCAATTGCAACACTAGAATACAAAAATACTAATTCGAAGGGATGCATACATCCCAATGTTTATAGCAGTATTGTCTACAGTAGTCAAATTATGGAAACAGCCCAAGGGTCTATTGACTGATGAATGGATAAAGAAGATGTGGTATCCTTGGAATATTAGTCATAAATATTGAAATATGAGTCATAAATGAGAATGAAATATTGCCATTTGCAATGACATGGATGGAACTAGAGAGTATAATGCTAAGTGAAATAAGTCAGTCAGAGAAAGACAAATACCATATGATTTCACTCATATGTGGAATATAAAAACAAACAAAGGGAAGAGAGAGAGAGAGAGAGAGAGAGAGAGAGAGAGAGACAAACCAAGAAACAGATTCTTAACTATAGAGAACAAACTGATGGTTACCAGAGGGGAGGTGGGTGGGGAGATGGGTGAAATAGGTGATGGGGATTAAGGAGGGCACTTGCAATGAGCACTGGGTGTGGTATGGAAGTGTTGAATCACTATATTGTACACTTGAAATTAATATTACACTGTACGTTAACTGGAGTTTAAATAAAAACTTAAAAAAAACAGAATAAAATAAAAAAAGATAAGCCAACAGGTGGATGAACACAAATCCCAAATTCTCACACCAATGAATGGGCAGAGCACCAGGTCACAGTTCCTTGGGGCGAAACAACAGGCAGTGTACATCGAGGTCTGTGCAGGATTTAGGCTTGGTAGATGTCCCCTAAGCCCCTGAGCAGCAGACTGTAAAGCTAACAGCCCTTCAGCTCCTGTGGGTAGCTCAGCTGATACCAAATAGGCATGAATATCTCAAAAAGAGAACTGAGCAGCTTCAGGCACCCAGCTAGACTCTGCAGTCTAGGAGCCTCTAGCAACCAGAAGGGAGCTTTTAGCAGTTAGCCTTTCCTTATCTCACCAGCAGATCCTGGAGGATGCCTCTGGCATGGACTGACTTAGGACCTTTGCCTTTGGTTCATTTTCCACAAAAAAAGAAGTCTCATTCTGTGCAACCTTTCTGAGGATGAGTTTGTAGACATCGTCAATAAGACGACCACTTGGTAATCCATTTTAGGATATTGGAAAACTAGTTTTAATCCATTCTGATGGAAGATTTTATGCAAGAATTAAAGCATTCTAAGTCTGGTTTTTCGATTTCATATCACATCAACAAACTTTGCTGTGGATGGAATTAGCAGCCAAAGAGCTCTGTCTAAATCATTGCTTTCTGTTGTCCTAAGCTTTCTCAGTGTTGGATGTTGGCTTAGATGCCAAGCTGGACCAAGAACATCGTAAACTTCTTGTCTATTTAATGACTAAAATAATAGCCCTGTTTGATAATAGCCATCCCAGACTTATCCATCTCAAGCTATAAAGGGAGGCACATTAGTATTTGTGGTCACATATTGACCAGTTGAAACCTCATACGTGGCTTTCAAAAGCAAGTGAACAAATGGTTTTTTGGGATGAGGCACTGCAAAGAGCTACAGAGCATTGTAATTGGAAGCTCTTTATACAGCATACATTCATACTCACTAATATTATCTTACATTTATACGAGACTTCACAATTTCAACATGCTTCTCTATACATTCTCCCACTTGATTTCCATAAATTTCCATAAAATAGGTATCATATCCATTGGAGGTGCATTCAAAGTCACCAGTAAGTGAAGGAGGTATTCACATGACTTACTACATCCATATCTATGGTTGGTGAGGCTGGACTTTCACAAGTGAAATCCTTTGCTTTTCAGCTTTTGAATTAGAGAGTTTGAACTAGCAAGTGGCCTTTCCTTCTTCTATCTTGTATTGGCCCCAAACCTTGCAATTCTTGACATTTATACAAGAGGTGCTCATCACACCATTTTATGAGGTAAGTCATATAAGGATCATGAACCTCATAGAGATCTTGTTATATTTCTCCAATATGATGGACACCCATGATAAAAGTAGGAGCCTTGTAAAAAACCATAAGCAAAGCTCCACATTTTACTTTAGGTTTAGAGAGTGTCAGACAAACTATTATTGAATCAATAGAGAAAGAAAACAAAAGCATAGTTGCCCTCTGAAACACCTAAATGACATTATTTTTTTAAATAAAGTGTAAAATATAGGACTTAACTCTAGGAAGACAGTTTAAAAATTAAGTTCTCGGGGCGCCTGGGTGGCGCAGTCGGTTAAGCATCCGACTTCAGCCAGGTCACGATCTCGCGGTCCGTGAGTTCGAGCCCCGCGTCAGGCTCTGGGCTGATGGCTCGGAGCCTGGAGCCTGTTTCCGATTCTGTGTCTCCCTCTCTCTCTGCCCCTCCCCCGTTCATTCTCTGTCTCTCTCTGTCCCAAAAATAAATAATCGTTGAAAAAAAAAATTTTAAAAAATTAAGTTCTCCGTGAGGTCATTCAGCAGCTGAAATGATTAATAGTAGATAAAACTCATGAACTATCATAATTTCCTATGCTGTGGGTATATTATTTTTCTCTCTGGTTTTATTAAGATATATATGAAGAAAATATATACCAGCAAAATTCCTCCTTGTTAGCTGTTCAGTTCTGCAAATTTTGCTAATGCATACAGTTGTCATACCACTACCCAAATCAAGAAGCTAGGTTTAAAACCATGCCTGTCAGACCCACCAGCTCTTTTCACTATTCCAGGGTACACTATTCTTGGGATCTGGAGGTATAAAGCTAAGAAATACCCAATTTATGCAGACAGACCTAAGCAAGACCCTCTGCTAGGAAAGCGGTACCTGCTGAGGTGGTCTCCAGCTCCCTGGTTATAAAGAAATAGGTTATTCTTTTTCTTTGACAACAAACCCATCTTCATCAATAATTTTTGACTTAGCCTAATGTAAGACTCTTATCCCTGTATGAATACTGCTCTGATTTCCTAGTAGAAATTTGATAGAGAATATATTTATAGACTGTGATGTACTTATCCAAATGGTTAATTCCACAATTCTATGATTACAACTACAACTTGACCTTAAAGTATGTGATGCCTAATTTTATCAATGGGCAAGCTATCCTGGACTGAAACCCCATAGAGGAAGAATGGATGAGTAATCAGACAAGTAAAAATTTGCTGCTTATAGCATCATCCAACTGTGTGTAGAGCAAGAATCATTATATTTTAACATGCTGGGAACATTTGTCTTGATTGAGTGTTAGTCAATAAAAATTCCTGTTTAAAGGATTGCTGCTGTGGGGTCTGCTCTTGTTCCTGAAACTGCAGGGACACACTGAAAATTTGAAGAAAAGCATACTACACAATACCTAATAAAGTGTTATAAAGTACTAAAATAGCACAGTCCCTTGTCCATTAAAAATGTAGTAAAATTTTCTGAAAATGAAATTTAATATTATGTGTTATTTTTTCTTTCTTGGAACCATAGATTACTTAAATATTTCCATTAGCGCCAAAATAGAGTGATATGATAAAAATGATGAAATGAAAGATTATGGTTTTCCACTGGGTATCAGAAGAAAAAAGATTGGGAGAATTATAATAAAAATAAAACTCAAAGGAATTCAAATGCATTCCATTTGCAATTAAAGCACACATTTAAGTCATAGGGTGATGTAGCCTTGGAAGAGGAGCTATGCTAATTTATAGGTATTTAATTAACTCCACAGGGTAGAGTCCCCTGTTGTTACTTTGTGTATATAATATTTATATTGATAATTACAAAACTAATTTAAAATACTAAAAAAGACCTAAGTGAATACAGTTAAGCCCATTCTTTCTCAATTTCCAAATGGTCCATATCAGATTGTGAAAACTGACCCAATATATTTTTTTAAAAATGTTTTAATGTTTATTTATTTTTGAGAGAGAGACAGAGCATGAGCAGGGGAGGAGTAGAGAGAGAGGGAGACACAGGATCTGAAGCAGGCTCCAGGCTCTGAGCTGTCAGCACAGAGCCCGACGCGGGGTGTGAACCCACAAACTGCAAGATCGTGACCTGAGCCAAAGTTGGATGCTTAACTGACTGAGCTGCCCAGGTGCCCCCAAACTGACCCAATATTTAGCAAGGTCTTTACTCGAAACTTTAGTCGTAGTGGAACAAGGATGAAGAGGGAAGAAAGGAAACGTAGAAGATTCCTTCCTTTTGTTTTCTTTGGATGGACGAATCTAAAGAGTGTCCTGTGTAAACCTAAATGTGAGACCTGAAACCATAAAAATCCTAGAAGAGAGCACAGGTAGTAATTTTCTCTGATATCAGCCATAGCAATATTTTTCTGCATATGTCTCCTGAAGCAGGGGAAACAAATGAAAAAATGATCTATTGGGACTACATCAAAATAAAAAGCTTCTGTATAGCAAAGGAAACAATCAAAACTAAAAGACAACCTATTGAATGGGAGAAGATATTTGCAGATGACATATCTGATAAGGGGTTAGTATCCAAAATATATAAAGAACTTCTACAACTCAACACCCCAAAAACAGATAATCCCATTTAAAAATGGGCAGAAGACGTCAACAGGCATTCTCCAAAGAAGACATACAAATGGTTGATAGACATATGAAAAGATGTTCATAATCACTTACCATCAGCAAAATGCAAATCAAAACTACAATGAGACATCACTTCACACCTGTCAGAATAAAATCAACACAAGAAACAACAGGTGTTGGCAAGGATGTAGAGAAAAAGGAACCCTCATGCACTGTTGATGGGAATGCAAACTAGTGCAGCTACTATGGAAAACAGTATGGAGGTTCCTTAAAAAATTAAAAATGTAATTACCATATGATCCAATAAATCCGCTACTAGGTATTTATACCCAAAGAATACAAAAAAACTAATTTGAAAAGATGAAAGCAGGGGCGCCCGGGTGGCTCAGTAAGTTGAGCATCCAATTTCGGCTCAGGTCGTGATCTCATGGCTTGTGAGTTCCAGCCCCACGTCGGGCTCTGGGCTGATAGCTCGGAGCCTGGAGCCTGTTTCGGATTCTGTGTCTCCCTCCCCCTCCCCTGTTCACACTCTGTCTCTGTCTCTCTCAAAAATAAATAAATATTAAAAAAAAATTGAAAAGATGAAAGCAGTCCTATGTTTATTGCAGCATTTTTTACAATAGTCACTATGGAAGCAACCCAAGTATCCATCGATAGATGAATGGTTAAAGAAAAAGTGGTATATATACACAATGGAATATTATTCAGCCATAAGAAAGAATAAAATCTTGCCATTTGCAACAACATGGATGGAGCTAGAGCTTACAATGCTAAGTGAAAGAAGTCAATCAGAGAAAGACAAATACCATATGATTTCACTCATATGTGGAATTTAAGAAACAAAACAAATGATCAAAGAAAAAAAGATGCAAATCAGAAAACAGACTCTTAGCTATAGAGAACAAACTGATGGTTCCCAGAAGGGTGGTGAGTGGGGAGATGGATTAAATAGGTGATGGGGATTAAGAATTCCACTTATCACTATGAGCACTAAGCAATGTAAAGAATTGTTGAACCCTGGTATTGTAACCTGAAACTAATGTAACACTGTATGTTAACTATAGTGGAATAAAAACAATAAGCAAACAAACTATGTCCTTTTTGCTTTGTACCATCTTGGCTGAAAGTAACATAGCGCCAACAGAAAATGAAGTTTTGTTTAAAAGACAATTAGCATTTATTCAATATAATTTTTTCACTTTGCTTGTATTTCTCCCATTCCCTTTAAGGTACTTTTTTTTCCTCCAAAGTCATCACATGACTATTTTCTCCTTTCTGTTTAAAAAATGGTTCTATTCTTGAGTTTGCTGGAGGATCAGCCTACAGGGCTATAGACCTCAGGCAATTGTGGGCATGTCCATGCTCTCCCAACAGTGGGGGCAACATCACTGAGTTGAGTAGGCAGAAAAGTCCTGAAAAAAAAATCCATTAAATTCAAAACTCTTAGAGGAAGTAATGGAAATATAAAAAGAGGCATTAGTTGACAATATTTACTGAGCATGTAATGGAGAGTGTTTACACAATTATCTCTAAGCTTCATCTTGCCTGCCCTTGGAGAGGAGTGTACAGTGTTATTTTCTAAGTTGTCTTGAGTCAAAGCTCTGATTGATTCCAAACATATTAGAGAAATTGTTACTAGAGTAAATATATTTTTAAAAGAATAAGACATTATTCGTTACTCAGAATGGTATACTTAGAATATAACATTAGATCTATTACAGTATAGCATCTTTAGATCTCCCTCTCCTCTGCTTCTGTCTTCCCATCTCCTTCCTGGACTCTGACCCTTCGGCCCTCATGCCTCCCTCTTCCAAGGACACTTAAAATTCCACTGAGCTCACCCCAATAACTCAGGATAATCTACCCATCTCATGATCCCTGACATATGTACATCTGCAAATTTCCTTTTGCCATGCAAGGTAATATATACACATGTTTCAAGGATTAGGACGTGGATAACTTTGGGGGAGTCATTATTCTGTCTGTCACACATGCCAGTTGCTAGGATGTTTTTCCTTGATGACCATCCCAGGTTTCTACATCTCTGGTTTGAGATTAAACTATATTCTCTGCAAACTATATATCTACTTTAGTAGCTTGTTTTCTCTTAGGTTTTGCCAATAGGGGGCATTAAAGGATACTGCAAGGCAGGACGAGGAAGTGAATTAATTCTTTTTTTTTTTTTTTTAGCTCGATGCTCTTGATTGGCACTTCCCCAGAAAAGACCCTCCCTGGCAGGTGCAGATGGTGTAGATCCCAGCTTTTCCTCAAACTCTCAGCATGGCCACACTTCCAGAATCAGTCTCATTACCCTCAGACTATGCACACAAGCTGGGCAATGGACCTCTTCCGAAGTTTGAGTCTTCACTCATCAGAGCCACTGTTCCAAGCATCTGGCTTCTGAAAACCTCAAATTATTTTCTTTCTTTCTCCAATCCTAGAGATGACAGCAGCTTCTTGCAATAATTAGCATAGTGTTCATTTTTAGGCGTTTCAGTTCTCCAGCATCTGTTTAAACATTTCCCTACATTAAAATCTCTTGGTTGAAGTACCTGGTATACTTTTGTTTTCCTGATAAATTTGCACTATGGTCAGTTTTTTTTTTTTTTTTGGTCAGTTTTTAAAATACCCCAACAAGTGGTTACAGAACTAAAGAGTGGTAATAGTCTTAGAAGAAATGGGTAGAAAGACCTCTGAGGGAAGAGAAGTGATCTCAAACCTGTCTGATGCAGTTGTTTTGCAAGAAACATTATGGGATAGAAATAAGAGCCTATCTTCCCACCAAAATCACTTCACAGGATCATAACATCAGATTTTTTTTCTTAATGTGAAACAACAAAAATCCCAAAGACAATTACTTTGTTTTTGGGGTTTGTTAAATAACAAAATCATTTAAAAGAATACAACACAGAATTACTAGAATATCTCAATCCAGTTTAAACTATGCAAGAAACTGATTTAATGTGGCCAGATTTAATTCAATACTTAGATAATCTCTAATACCAGTAGTTCAATAGTCTTCTCAGTGAAGATCTTAATAACATTTCACACACATGTGTATGTGTGCCCATGTGTGTGTTATAAGAGAGATTTACCTTACATACTCTTACAGTCTTTTAGCTGCCAAAAAAAACTATGCCTTTGAATTTCTACATGTGTGCTATAGTGAAACTACCCTCACAATTTATGACCTCGTTACATGTTTGAACATCCTTTAGATTACACTCTTGCCAGAGATAAATGCACTCAACATAAAATAATAATGTTTCAATCATGGAAATGTGATCTTAATCATGTTTAAACCTGCTTTTTAAACTCTGACATTAATTAGCAACCCAGAACTCCTTCTAAACCTCCATACCAGTCTTTGAAGAGGTTATTCATCAGATAAGAATGATGTTTGTCTAGGAGTGTACTTCTCTTAATGGACTTAATGTCATTATTTCTAAAATGTCTGGGTCCCCTTCTCCCTCATCTCCTGCTCAAGTTCAATGGCCTACATAGCTCTTTAAAGTCATTAAGACACTGGGAGGAGGTGATGTACTAGAAGTATACAAGAAGTGAAAACAACCAAGTACATGTATAATAAAAAGACACCTTAGGGGCTGGGTAGGAGGGGTTGGGGACATAGAGCAAGTCACACTGAAGGTTATCAGGTATCTGAAGTTGGGCTACATGAACGATGGAGTTTAAAAGGGAAAAGTAATTTCTGAAAAGAAAAACTGGAGTGGCGTGTGTGTGTGCGCACACATGTGTTTAGGGTAGAATGTGAATAATATTTTCGTGTTCCAATCTGAGGTCTAGTGCTAGTGCTAAGGAACCCAGGGAATGTAATGGAGGTTCAGGTGCATGGATTTTCCCCCACTGATTACTAGTTGCTTCCTTGAGTTATTGTCCATCCTTCTGCTGCACCCTCCTCCCCAAGCACAGAGCTCAGGGTTATCACAGAGCTTTCCCAAATCCTAAGACAGTCTTGTTTACTGAGAACTTAATGAGCTCTTAAATGGGATTAGTTATGTCATTGTCTAATATGTGACCTATCATAGAAATGACCTTAGCAGTCTTAATTATTGTGCAATATAAGAGATCCAGAATGCGTGCTAGGTAGAAAAGAGAGAAGAGGCTCTATGAGAAAATATTAATTTTGATTTGAAAATATAGATGTAAGGACAAGGACTGCCCTTGAAGTTCAGACTCTAGAGGAATAATACCAGACTTCAGGAAATCTTGACTGAAAGGAAGACCAAAAAGAAAATCAAGTGAAGGAAGAGGAAAACCCACCTATAAATTATTTTCGAGTTTATAAACCAAATTCATGATTCAAAACTATAGACAAAGGCTTAATTGACCCCCTTGGTGTATACCTAGCTTCCCATACACACTTCTCCTGAATATCACAGGATAGTGAGCATGGGAAAAGCAAAATCATTAGCAAAACACACAGTGAAGGGTATAAGAAAGTGGTAGAAGGTTCGAGGATATTTAACACATCGGCAAAGAAAACTCGTGCAGTATGGCTACAGTGAGACAAATGATAAATCAATTTGAGTGACTTATGTATTTAATCGTTAGGACCTTTGCATTTTTCTGATGACTCCATGAAAATTCAAGTCTAGAGAGAGGACTTTGGGCACTAATGGGTTAATGCCTCTTCATCCCCATGTGAGTTAATAACAGAATCATATACATATTGTGTTGTTTATCCTAGTGCCCACAGTATGTACTAATGACTCAGTAACTATACCTACTATTTTATGTGTGCCTGCCTTCTTCCCTGGTAGTGATTTTCAGATAATACATGGGTAGGGAATCTGGATCACTGAGTGAAATATGCCTGATTAATTTTTCTTTTAATTATTGTGTTAGATGAGGGTATATTTTCCGACATTGTTTAACAAATATTTTAAATTATTTTTAAAATGTTATTTTCTATCCTCTTGTGGCCTGGCATATGTCTCTAGGGAATTACACAAAAATTTACCACTTGGGTCTAATTTCTGTTGAAATGATGTATACTGCCAAAATATCTAAATGAAACAAGAACAAAATTCAAGCCTTACTGATATAGGCAAAACATCTGAATAATTGAATGAATCACCCCATTTTCATCTGGGTGTTTTGTTAGAGGGTAGCTTTAGGCGTAAGTACACAATAGAAAGTGAAATGAAGAGGAACAAGCTAATTAGTGTTGTCAAATAAACAAGAGTGCAGAGGTGCCAAACTTGGTGTCTTGATCCAAATTAGCCAAATTTTCTATGGTAATTGTATTAACTGAATAATTTCCAAATTTCAATTTTTCTTTCTGTTGTAAAGAATGGTCAGATAAGTTCATGTGTTATCTCATTGTCATTCCATTTCACCCTTTGCCATGACTTACACCCAACTTTTGTTTTGTTTCTCTTCTTGGCTTCTTCTGTTTTCATTCCATGATGGCTTCTGCTTTTCCTCTCCTCTGTCGATTGCTTGCAGTATAGATTATACAGATCATTTATAGTTTAATCTTAAAATGGTTAAGACTTCTCAGTGATAGATACTTAAAATTATCTTTTGTTAGTCTGAAGCCATTATGTCATATTACTAATCAGCTGACCTGCCAATATTTGCCTCACATGAAATCTGGTCACATAATTTCTAATTTTTTTTTCCGAGAGAGAGTACACAAGTCAGGAAGCAGGGCAGAGGGAGAGAGAGAGAGTGAGAGAGAGAGAGAAATTCCAAAGCAGGCTCCATTGATCCCACAATCCTGGGATCAGGACTTGAGAGGAAATCAAGAGTCAGATGCTCAACTGACTGACCCACCCAGACACCTCTAAATTTTTTGTAATATATTTTAATTGTTCCTATAACTATTAGTTCAACAAATCCTACCATCAAATCACATCATTAAATACGTTGCATGTGGAAATGTGCTTATTCACATAGTTTTATTATTGTTTCCAACAGCTATTTTGTATAGTTTATTTAAAAGTAATTTTTAACAAGGTGAAGGCCTCCCGATCCCGTTTAGAGCCATTGTCATGAACTGCAGTCAGCTCAAATGTTGGATTTTCCAAGTCCTGTGTCTTTTAGGTATAAGGCAAGAGCTATAACTCAGTTTTTCAGTGCTTGTGAAAGAAAATATGAGTGGCATGAATAATCATAGATCTATTCTCTTTCAATCTCACTAATCAAAGTTAACAATGAGGTTTAATGAGTAATATCTTCGTGGAAAATTATAACAACAATTGTCATGTTGAAAAATTCAGGTTTTATAATTACACAAAGTACGTGATAATGCTGGGTTATAATTTTCTTACTAGAAAATATTTTAAATAAAAAATAATTTCCCTGTTATTAGCCAGTGCATACTGGGACATTCTTCTGTGGCTTAACAGCCTGCAGGTGGCCACATTACTTAACCATAACTTTAAGTATTGCATTTGGGATTTCTATGCAAAATCAAGATTAGTCTTGTGACTTTTTGGAGTCAAACCAGCATGATTCACTTTGAGAAGTGTGCCACTTTTCAGTTTCCTGACCACATGAGTTTTCTGCCAATCTCATTAAAATTTAGAGGCTGTATGCTTACTGATTTTTCTGTTTCTGGAAGGTAGCTCAATAACTTCCTTATCCCACAGTGATGTGGGAAGATTGTGGGGAGGTCTCCTCTTGAATTGTGTTTTCTTAGCTCTTATTCTCTTCCAGGTGCCTTACAAATTAGAATCTCTCAGCCAGGGAAGTCTAGGCATTTGCAGTCTCCTTTTGGACCTTTTTTGTCAGTTGCTATGTGATTTATTATGGACTTGGCATTCATCTCTTCCGGGTCCACAGTTGTCTTTGCTGGGGCCAGGAAGGCTTCTGCTGAGTGACTTTATATTAATGATACTTTGTTTCTCATTTGATGTGGTATAAATTTCGTAACCATCTTTTGCAGTGTGTGTAAAGGCAAGTTTGTTTACAAGCTCCTTATACAAGCTTTTAAAGATACTTTGATTCCAAATATAGCCATTTAGCACTCTGTACAAATATTTACATCATTATTAGATAGAATGCATTCCTATATTTTAGCAATGTTATTTCTCTATTTTCTATCCTCTATAACAGTGACAGTGCCTCTATATGTATCTTCAGAGCATCTTTTTTTTAAAATTTCTTTTTTATGTTTTATTTACTTTTGAGAGTGAGAGAGACAGAGTATGGGTGGGGGAGGGGCCGAGAGAGAGAGAGGGAGACACAGAATCTGAAACAGGCTCTAGGCTCTGAGCTGTCAGTATACAACCTGACGTGGGGCTCGAACTCACATACCACAAGATCATGATCTGAGCCAAAGTCAGACACTTAACCAACTAAGCCACTAAGGCGCCCCCTCAAATGTATTCTTAATATGCTTTCAAATAAGGGGCGCCTGGGTGGCTCAGTCAGTTAAGCATCTGACTTCAGCTCAGGTCATGATCTCATGGTTTGTGGGTTCAAGCCCCGTGTCAGGCTCTGTGCTGACAGCTCAGAGCCTGGAGACTGCTTTGGATTCTGTGTCTCCTCCTCTCTCTGCCCCTACCCTGCTC